TCAGATATTTGCTTACCTTTAATGACCTGGCAATTGCAATTGCCAGGGCATCATCTTCGGTGCTCTGCTGGAACGCAGAGTAGTCGACTTTAGCTGTACTTTCCTTAACGGACTTGTACCCAGCGGTTACTTCGGCGTAGCTACGGAAGCTTCTAGGGGACATGCGAGATGCGAGTTGTTTAAAATGCGACATGCGAGTTGTTTAAAATGCGACATGCGAGTTGTTTAAAATGCGACATGCGAGTTGATTGAAATGCTACATGCGATCGAGTTGCTGATTCTATTGCGAATGACGTCATTTCTTCCTGATGTCCGAGTCTGAGTAAAGTAAGTATTCCCTAGYTTCCTTTCGTTTTATTTTAATATGTTCAAATATACAGAGATCTTCTTACATTTTATTACGGGCTGAATTCCTTGCACTTYGTTTTGAGGACTTACTTAGAAGCTATTAGATGCAGGACGACGTCCAGGACTGAGATTTTTACGATTATTAAGACTTACTTCCAACTCGCATGTCGCATTTTAATCAACTCGCATTTTAAACAACTCGCATCTCGCATTTTAAACAACTCGCATCTCGCATTTTAAACAACTCGCATCTCACATTTTAAACAACTCGCATCTCGCATTTTAAACAACTCGCATCTCGCATTTTAAACAACTCGCATCTCGCATGTCCCCTAGAAGCTTCCGTACGTAGCTCATAGTCATAATACACTAAATTATATGCTTTAAACTTTATAAAGATGCAATAAATACGGCCGGCACAGTAGAAACGAAAAGTATGAACACGCTATAAGAAGTAATGAATAGCGGTATCCAATAGCTTGATATCCACAAGTGGTTTGACAATTTCGGACGTCCCATCCCTCCTCGTGTTTTCGTCTTTGGATTGATCGAGCGACCGCCAACAGAGTAACTTTTGCATCATATCCATCACCACCAGCAATATAAAGCCAGGCTCCCGTGTGGCCGCCCGCAATGTGTGCAAGGTGATGACATAAAACTTTCCAGATATACGATTCTTAAAACATTGTAAACTGGTCTTAAATGATGTCAGCTGCTCTCAAAATCAAAAGATTCATTAATCTACTACTTTTAACTATTATATTGAAAAGTATTTGTACACTGGTGTTTCGTTTTGGTACTGTTTCGGTGTTTCGGTGTTTCGGTGTTTCGGTGTTTCGGTGTTTACTTAACGACGTTTATATACGGAAAAAGATTAACAGTGACCTCCTAGACCATCTTATCAATAAGATTCTGTTTGAGTGATAAATGGGTGATAATTGGAAATGTTATTAGAAGTANCAGAGTAACTTTTGCATCATATCCATCACCACCAGCAATATAAAGCCAGGCTCCCGTGTGGCCGCCCGCAATGTGTGCAAGGTGATGACATAAAACTTTCCAGATATACGATTCTTAAAACATTGTAAACTGGTCTTGAATGATGTCAGTTGCTCTCAAAATCAAAAGATTCATTAATCTAATACTTTTAACTATTATATTGAAAAGTATTTGTACACTGGTGTTTCGTTTTGGTACTGTTTCGGTGTTTCGGTGTTTCGGTGTTTCGGTGTTTCGGTGTTTCGGTGTTTCGGGGTTTAGCAACACCCCTAGCAAGGTGGTTTAAAAAAAGGTGGTTGTCGGATTAAGACACCTTCAGGAATTTTAGGCAAGTCACATTTCTAGTGAAAACACAGCCCACAATCGCTAAATGATGAAGTGACAACAGTTTGAGTGTAGTAATCGAAGAACTTGACTGTTTTGTACCCTAATACAGTTAATATTAATACTATCAAAACAGTAAAGCAAGAAAATTTTTCCTTGAATCAAAAATAATAAAAGAAGCAAAATACTTATAAGCATTAATATTGAGAAAGAAGTGATCAACTTTGGAAAGGCGGCTCCACTTTGAGAGTCACATGGCTTGCTGTAAACAATGATCGGCAGTCCTTTATGTTCTTCGCTTAAAGTACTTACAATCTTCGTTTCTTCGTCGGTACATAGTTAATAACTATGCACCGACTATTAACTATGCTATTAACTATGCTAAGATGCTATTAACTATGCTATTAACTATGCTAAGATGCTATCAACTATGCTAAGATTGAACATAATTCATTACATCTGTTATATCCAATTTTCTTCCAAAACCTAAAGAGTACTCTAGGAAGCTGCGCACACAATCCTTGGCAAGGCCTAAGATAAATACAGAATGTTTTAAGAATTGTTTTTTTAATAGACAAGTTTTTAAGTATAATTTAGCAGGGGAATCTAATAATTTTAACGTTTTTGAATTTTCATATATTAAGAATGTCTATTGTATAGACACACCTTCATCGTTGTGGACGTGTCTTTAAACGTTACATCTCTTAAGTCAACTTCGCCATTGTTGGATAAGGCAATCGGAGTTTCTTCTAGATCTGGGCAATGTGTTTGATCTGATTCCTGATCTGTGTTGGGGAGGGTAGACGTTTCTTCACTTTCCTCGAGCTGAAAAAGTAATGTAATGCCGGGTGTATGTTAAATTCGAAAGTTTATTCCCATAAAACCCTCGAACGAAATTAAAGAATTTACTGTATGCCTACAAAATACTTAGAGGCACGTTTTTAAGGCACGTTTAGAGGTGTTGGAATGACGGACAAACTTCTTGAAAATTGCTGGAACTTTAATCAGCTTTGGAGCTTTGGCATATCCATGGTCTGTACCTTGGGCCAGCGAAAAACGCTCCGTTACGTAGTTATTGTAACTTGCCACAACTTCAGGCCATTCTGGACTCCAAGGAAATATTGAAGGATCAGAATAAAATTCTTTCTTCCAACCACCTTCGAAGTGTAGTCGACATAGACATTTCCATTGTGAATCTCTCTCTCGCGTATTTCGTGTCAACTTTTTCCACCTTCGTCTTCTTGTCTTGTGTTTGGGTAGTTTGTAAAACTTTAAATGCTGATACGAACGGTTATTGGACACGCAACCAGTAACATAACAGTTAACATTTACCATTTGATAAAAAAAATAGCAAAAACGTTGTAATGTTGTGGATGTCTTTAGGAAGACAGTTTAGAGACACACGAGAGATTGTAAGTCACCTTTACTCAAGAACGACTGACTGTGTACTGAACTCAATACAATGATAAATTCAAAGGTTATATAATGTTACAGAGCTGGCGTGACAGGGTTACAACAGCGTCACAAACGTGAAAAAATGGAGTACGAGAGACTACTAAAACCAAAACATTATACAAGATACTCCACCATTTTGTTTGTTTACCCCGAGCGTATCCCATAATTCCTTGCACAAGACTTTCGTGACGTAAAAGTTTCAGAGGGCTATTGGTGGCATGATCGATCGGGTCATTTTACAGTACTACTTTACCAAAATGCTTACATTAAAAACGGCTCAAGCTTACCAAGCCCCCCCCCTCCCCCCTAGAAATCTATTATTTTTTCCGAGAATACGAAGACTTGGATTCAAAATGATAGCAAGAGTCAAAACTCGAATTGTGATTGGATTACAGTGTATGATGTTACTCATATGGAATAGTCCAATCAGAATTCGAGTTTTGAAATGGTTATTATTTCGAACCCCGAGTCTTCGTTATAGCAGGGCGGGAGGAGGGATTGCGTTGAAACGGGCACACAGCTAATGGGCGATCCGTCATGCGGAGAGTAGGACTGGACGCTACTCTGACTGTCAACAATGGCGGACCGTTTGTGGAGGAAGTTCGGCTGACAAGAAGATCTTTCAAAGGAAAATTTAGGCTTGTTTATCTTTATTCTTAGCTAATAAAACAATTTTATTGGTGTTAGAGAATACCCAATACAGGATAAGAGTTTTCATAATGAAGAATTCGCTAGTTTTTGTACTCAAATGACCATTTTAATAAGCGACTGCCTATGGTGTTCATACGCTAGATTTTATATAGCAAATGCGGGAGCAGGGCATTTTTGGCTATATATCAATGTTTTCCAAAACCTAGTTCATATATTTTTGAAATGTTTATATAGTGTTCTACTTACCGTAAATCCTCTATCTAGCCCCCGGGGGGCTTAATGCACTAGTCAATTGAAACCCCCGGGACTAGCGGGACACTGAACGGGGACGTGACGCGATTTTGATATGCTTTTAAGAGCATGATTGCACCTGGGGGTCGGGGTTTTCTCAGCGGGGAATCGAACGGGGATTTCAACGGCTCGTTTGAATATGTAAGGGCCCGGAAACAAGAGGTCGGCCATCTTGAAAAATAGCAAGAAGGCTTTGTGATTCCAAGCACAGGCAGCCAGTAGCCTAGTACAGAGCAGTATGTTCTACACAAAACACATGCTCAAACAAACTTATAGCAGTTTCTACCTATACATTTTTACACTGAACTCCACTGATAAGAATCTTTCTTAAAATTGTAGCCTTAATAGGTTCTTATGTGGAGGGGTCTTAAACTGAAGCCTAACAGGTTCTTAAAACCCAGGTAACCACTCAAATGTTAAATTCCCCGGTATTTCGCGGGGGTCGGGGAGTGGGGGTTTCAATTGACTAGTGCATAACTATTTCAGGCACGTTTGAGGGGGGGCTTATTGGAGAGAGGAGGCTTAATTGAGAGGGGGGGCTTAATGATTTAGTCAAACGCAGTAAGTTGTAATTGTGTCAGGATGTAATACGATTGTAACTCAGGATTAAACTGAAGCATTACTATTGACCGTCTCGCATAATCTGTAGTGATGTACATGGCATTTGTATTATTTGATTAACCTGTGTTAGTCTCTTAAGTATAATTTATGATTATTGTGAATAGCAAAACTAAAACACGGTAACATTAACAAAGCAAGCTAAAAAGAAATGTTCTGAACTATCATTAATGTTCCATTGGTACATTAACACGTGATTCTTTAGTTGTGAAAGGGGAGGGGATGGGGGGAGGCTAAAAAGAGAGGGGGGGCTTAACAAATTTTTTCCTTTAAAAAGGGGGGCTTATTAGAGAGGGGGAACTTATTTGAGAGGGGTGGGGGCTAAATAGAGGATTTGCGGTATGTGAAAAAAATCAGACTGAGCAAATTTGAGCAAGATTAGTTTTTTGACATCTCAAATGTAGACTAGCGAATCTATAGTGAAATTGACATACGTTTAACGAAAATGGAACGAAATGATCGGAAATTACATACATAAATACAGCTTTGTTTCAGCAGGTCTAAAAACTGGCAGCTATATAGCTGATGTGG